GTTTTATCAAGGTGACCCTGCAGAAAGGAGGCCTTTTTCTGCTTCTGTGTTTATGGTTCAGGAGGCTTTTCTCTCGCTTCAGAAATGGTCAGAACTGTGCCTTCTGCCTTAACCAATTTAGAAGATGAACACTTGAAATTACGTGAGCCAAGTGATGGGAAAAATTGTGATGTTGAGACCAGTTTACTCATAGAAAATGGATTTATGGGCAAGTTATTAAGTAACGGGGAGTACCAAGGAAGCATAATGAAGATGAATGTAGAAGATGTGGTCTCCTAGAGTGATGGATAAAATGTGTTTGAGGCAACCACCCCCTTTTCAAATAACTTCTGAAATTTTTTTTCCCCAAGAGATTTAGCAGAATGCAGATGCTCTGGAGAAAAAATGAAAAGCTTGGTAGTAGTCTCGCCTTTCACATGGCTTCCCATCTTTTGAGGGCGAAAAACTAGTACAAAAAAAGTAGAGAATGTCAAAGAGAGTAGTGACAGATTGTAGCCAGGACAACCTTTGGGGAACGCCGCCATGTCAGAACTAGGTGAGGTGGCCCACCTATGCTCCGCCGTGGGGAGCCGAGCTCAGGCAGGTCTCTGCTCATGACCCTGTCGTGTTTCCTGTCGCTGACATGGTGTTCCCCAGGCTTGCCAGGTCAGAGAAATCTGCCGGGTGTGTGCGAACCAGTTCCCGGGTTCTGCCCCAGAACTACTGAATCAGAATCTCCAAGTGAGCCAGTTGCTTTCGTGTTTGGGAAACTGAGCTGGCAGCTCAAGTCCAAGGTCTCTTAGCCTGACTTGCTCTGCTTGCCAGGAATGTGGCCCTGCTCCCCACTGCGCCTACATTTTGTCCTCTTGGCCTGTGTAGCATTTTCTCCTCGAACGCAAATGCACCGTCCAGTGTCTTTGCTAAGATTTCTCTCCTTTTGGCTGGTGGGCTCCTTTTCCTTCCCACTCAGCAGGGGTGTCACCTCCAGAAATCCTCTGCTCTGCCAGGTCTGTGCCAAGTGAGCTGCTTTCTCTGTGTGCTGTTCTCCACATAATTCTATCCACATACATACAACTTCTAAAAAGTTCTCCAGTGACATGTTTTTTGGGCCAGCTTTGGAGTGTAAACTCTGAGGGCCCGAGGCAGCCTGTATCTTATTAGTGTTACCCGCCGCCCCCCCAAGCCTGTGCATCCGACACTCAGGCGCTGCACAGAAGTTTGAAGTGTTGAACACCTTCGGGAAGAGATTGATGCTAATTGGAGTAAAGATGTGGCTTTAATGGCAGAGGTGTGATCTTTGATGAGCTTAGAAGAGTATTATCTGTGCTTTTTAAAAAAGTGAAGAAAGAAGACGAATAACATTTTAAAAAATAGCCAATACCAGCAGTTTGTCTAGGCTTGGGGTCTTTTTGCTGTCATTAACTTTTATTTTTTTAAAGATTTTATTTAATTTTTTTGACAGAAAGAAACAGCAGGAGAGGGAGCACAAGGAAGGGGGAGTGGGAGAGGGAGAAGCAGGCTTCCCACTGAGCAGGGAGCCCGACGCAGGGCTCGATCCCAGGACCCTGAGATCATGACCTGAGCTGAAGGCAGACGCTTAACGACTGAGCCACCCAGGCGCCCCTGTCATTAACTTTTAACTTTGGATGAGGTAGTTAGTAATATTCCTGTCAACTAGATTTTCACATGACCATGCATCTTAGTGGGTTTTGTTTTGTTTTTTTTTAACACGAAGGAAACGGCTAGTTTTGTCTCGGTCTTGTAGAAAGCACCATCATGGGATTCCACATCTGATAAGAAATGCACCTGACTCATGAGCTGAGTCTCCATCAGGCCTTCAGAGTTAATAGTCTCTAGACCCATTCAGTGACAAAACAGCACGTGTTCAGGACATAAATAAGGCAGTTTGTAGACAAATGGGAAGATTTGTTTGTTTTTACTAAACTCATCAAGAGTACTGAATCTGTTACAGGATTTACTTTGTAATATTTTTTTCTTGTGCTCAAAACAGCATAAATGAAATTGTGTGGTCTGATTCTCAAATGAATAGTGGTCGCCCTGAATAGTAGTTGTAATTCCAGTTACCTACTGAGACTGTAGCTAAAAAAATAAACTGGCAATCCAGTGGGAAAGTTAAATTAAAATTTGCTGAGTAAAATCACTAGCTGATCGCATTTTAAACATCTTCCAAGCCTCAGGAGGATGGAGTGGGGAATGGTCCAAAGAACAGCTCCAAGTTCAGGCGTACTTTGTGAAATTTGCATTTTCTTTTATTTAACTGAGGATGTTGATTTTTTGGGGTTAAAGAAAATTATTTTCCTTAAATTATAATCACTTTTGTTTACTCACACTCTTGGAGCAAGAGTTCAAATTCTTCTGGATTCTAAGTTCTTTAAGGTCAGAACCTGTGTGAATGCCGTGTTTTTGGAGTTCCCTAAAATATGTGCGGACATATGCGTATTTGTTCAAGAAACGAAAAGCCAGTAACCAAGCATTCTAGCTTAACCAAACTGCTTGAGCTGGCCGATTCACTGTGAGAAAATCTCTAAACGATGTTCCTGAACCCATATTCAGATCATGGAGTGGATAGACTTGAAGTAAGCAGTGATGTTTATGGGAGAAAGTGTTATAAAAATTTGGATTGAAAACAATTTGAGTTCTTGAGGAGAGTCCTTAAAATACTGTATCCATACTGATTTTTTTTTTTTTTTAAGACTTTATTTATTTGACAGAGAGAGATAGCGAGAGCAGGAACACAAGCAGGGGGAGTGGGAGAAGGAGAAGCAGGCTTCCCGCCGAGCAGGGAGCCCGATGCGGAACTCGATCCCGGGACCCCGGGATCATGACCTGAGCCACCCAAGCGCCCTCCATACTGATTTTTAAGTGTCAGTACCATATGGCTACAAAATAACAGTGAGCTGAATTTGACTGAAACAGAAATAGTAATTTCCAAAGTCCTTTTGCTGTTAGTTTTTGCTTAAGTAACTACAGTTTTGTTACTTTTGTATATCAAAATACTTTGACCCAGATAACTATTACATAACAAGATGAATTTTGAAAGGAGTGATTGGCAACTGTGTATGTTTGATTTGGGTATATAATGCTCTGTCTGTATTTCAGACTCCTGTTCTTGAATTTTAAGACTTTTTCATACTAAAAGGCAATCTCTGGAATGGGAGAAAACACTTGCAAATGACATATCTGGTAAAGGGTTAGTATCCAAAGTATATAAAGAACTTATAAAACTCAACACCCAAAAGCCAAATAATGCAATTAGAAAATGGGCAGAAAACATGAACAGACATTTCTCCAAAGAAGACCTACAGATGGCCAACAGACAAAGATGCTCACCATCACTAATCATCGGGGAGATGCAAATCAGAACTACAGTGAGATACCTCCTCACACCTGTCAGAATGGCTAAAAATCAACAACACAAGAAACAACAGGTGTTGGGGGGGAGGATGTGGAGGAAGAGGAACCCTTGTACACTGTTGGTGAGAATGCAAACTGGTGCAGCCACTGTGGAAAACAGTATGGAGGCTCCTCAAAAGTTAAAAATAGAAGTACCCCTATGATCCAGCAATTGTACTACTAGGTGTTTCCCCAAAGAATACAAAAATACTAATTCAAAGGGATACATGCACCCTGATGTTTATAGAGCATTATCTATAACAGCCAAATTATGGAAGCGGCCCAAGGGTCCATCAGCTGATGAATGGATAAAGAAGAGGTTGTATATATATATATATATGTATGTGTGTGTGTGTGCGCGCGCATGCACGTGTGTGAGAGAGAACTGGAATATTACTCAGCCATAAAAAAGAATGAAATCTTGCCGTTTGCAGTGGCATGGGTGGAGCTAGAGAATAATATGCTAAGTGAAATAAGCCAGTCAGAGAAAGACAAATACCATATGGTTTTACTCATATGTAGAATTTAAGAAATAGAGCAAACAAGCAAAGGGAAAAGAAGAGAGAGGCAAACCAAGAAACAGACTCTTAACTATGGAGAACACACTGATGGTCACCAGAGGGGAGGTGGGAGGGGGGATGGGTGAAATGGGTGATGGGGATGAAGGCAAGCACTTGTTGTGATGAGCACCGGGTGATTAAGATAAAAACTTAAAAAAGAAAAGACTTTCTCTTAATTATATAGAGTGTATATCTGCTCGAATAGAGTAAATAAAAGGCTCTGGCTGCATTAGTAACTTTCAAGAGGCTGTATAAGGTTGTGATTCAGAGCGCGAGCTGGTCATCCACTTACTAGCTGTGACCAGAGCAGGACCTCTGTGACTCTTTCTTCATCTGTAAAATGAAGATTAAAAACAGTACCTACCCCATCACGTCGTAGGTTTAAATGGATTACTATATGAGAAGTGCTTAGGTGAGTGCTGGCATACACTAAGATATTAGCTCTCAGTTACGGTGATAATTATTTTTAGAAACAGTATCTTGGCATCAGTTTGTAAATATGTCTGCATTATATAACACAGACTTTAAAATATGACTGTGTTGAGCTTGAATGTTGGTTCCATCACATTTAGGGGCACATTATTTCAGCTTTTTATGCTTTTATTTTCATTAGCAAGATGGGGATATTATGACTTTCTTCTCAGCGTTCCTATGAAGATTAAATGGGACCGTGTTTATAAGGATCTCAGCATAGAATGAGCATGCGGTAAATGCTGGAGGTGGCAGTGGTTGTAATGGGCGTACTGCCCGTGTGTGAGACAGTAGTGACCAGTGATTAAGAACAGGGGCTCTGTTAACACAGGGAGCCATGATGAAGCCGTGTCATGGGGTTGCTGTGGGATGGCTGAATGAGGTCATGCATTAGCTTAGCATCTGGCTGATAGTAAGTACTGGAAACATGCTAGCTGTCATGTTGTAATAGGAGTGAATAAAGTGAATATTGTTGAGTCTTCATCTGTGGTCCTTTGGTACGTGATTTCCTATAAATACGCTTTTTTGGGTGAATAATTAACTTTTGTCTTTACTTTTATTGCTCCTTTTCAGATTTTTGATCAGGATTGTTAAAATGAGTCTACGGAAGCAAACCCCCAGTGACTTCTTAAAGCAAATCATCGGACGACCAGTTGTGGTAAAATTGAATTCTGGAGTGGATTATCGAGGTAATATTTTCATGCTTTCTCCTCACTGGTGCAACTAAATGAGTAAATATGACCTAACTGGTTTTTATTAAGCTCTTAAACATACCCAATAGAAAAAAAGGCATTGGTTACCAGTAGTTTTTATGCCCATTTCTTTTTCTACCTCTGAGATGGTTCCCTTTGGAGACAAGGTGCATGGCAGATGGTGTGCTTCTGACTTGCGGTGTGACTTATGTGACTGTTGTCTCCTTGTCTCTGCTTTGCGACTGGATGTGTACGTCCTGGTAATAGCCAAGATTCTCAGTCACCTAAGGCAAGAATAACTGGAAACCGAAGAACACTTAGCACAACAGCATTTGGTTTTGCCGAAGTATTCAAGGTTGGCAAGCAGCTGTTTAGACGGTATCATTTTACAACATGAACTTCCCACTCTTACAGTGCACGTGCTATCCAGATACACCTTTCCATTCTTTTCGAGAATGCTCTTTTTAAAAGAGGCTGTGACACTCCTGAAATTAATTTTGTGGGAGGAATGGTGTCAAATCCCATTTTTTAGTTACTAAAATCTTAATCTTCCAAAATTCAAATACGTTAATGACCTGGAATATTTCACGGGTGCAGCTTACTAATTCATTAGCAGAGTAAAGCCTTTTCTTGGTCTCTTTTCTGAATGAGGATGGTAGTCTTGAGCTTTTTCCTCTTTCCACACATGCAAACTTAATTTTCCTGAGAACTTACTATGTGTCCAGTGTGTGCTAATCATTTCAATTTCCAATTTATCTTCACATAAATCCTTTGGGGTATGTGTTTCTCCCCACCTAGTAAAGGAGGAGCTAGGACTCCCAACTCAAGCTTGACTAAAAGCCTGGTTAAGAAATCACCCTGCTGTTTATGTACTGCTTTAGTTTCTTGATATCAATAACCTATCTCCAGTTTAATTTTTATAGTGGAACTAATAGATTTATTCTGAATACTGAGATATAAAGTCTCTACATACCACTTCACACCCATGAGCTTTTGATGAGCCCAAAGGAGATAACAGACTTCTAGAGATTTGAGCATATTCAGCAGTCGGTTAGGGTGGAAACATTGTGTTCAGTGTCTTCTCAGAACCCGCTTCATTGAGGAGATCAACCAGCCTAGCCTGACTTTTTTTCTCTACACTTGTTAGGGAAAATTTTTTTTATCTCTAAAGGTAGCATACATGTTTTTCTTTTTCTTTCTTTCTTTCTTTTTCTTTTTCTTTTTTAAAGAATTTCAAAGCAAATAATGAAGAAAAGTATACAGAAGAAAGCAGAGTCTCTGCAAATTCTTCCATCCAGAGATAATCAGGCCTACCAGTCTGGACCTGTGTCCATATAAGCATAATTTTATATAAATGGGATCAGCTATACATACACCCTGATTTTCTTCTTCTTTTTACGTGAAAGAATGCATTCAGTTCTCTGACAATACAGAGTGTTTCATGCTGCATAGGAGTACCTTGTGTAGATGTGCCACAGTTTTTGTTTTTGTTTTTAACCAGTTTTCCTATTAATGGGCTTGCAGGTGTTTACCAATTTTTTGCTATTTTAAGTAAACAGCTCTGCTCCTTTGACATGTATCTTGAGCACTTGTCCAAGTATTTCTTTAGAATAGATTCCCTGGCCTAGGATTTCTGTGTTAATGAGCATGCCCAATGGCCCTCCCCTCCGGGCAGATGGGCTTATTCTTCTCTGTGTTCTCAACAACCCTTGTATTAGCCTTGTTTTCAGCATTCCCATTCTAATTGGCAACAAGTAATAGTTTCATTTTATTTCTCTTTCTTTGTTTACTAGTGAGGTTGAACAGCCTTTCACATGGCTAGTAGCCATCATGATTAAATTAAAAAACCCCAGCTTTCTGTAGCAATTTCTCTTAAGTTTGAAGAAAACTGTTTTTTTCTGTTATTCATAGTAGTTTATCCCTTAGAGATGGGAGGGGGTTACCATTACAACCTCTTGGAATCTTTTTCTTAAAACAACCTTTGCTAGGAGAATAGATATTTTTCTGTTAGTGAATATTTCATTTTGAAATGCTTTGGCTTAACTTTCAAACAGATTTGCGTGTCATGTTTTGGAAGTTTCTTGCTCACTTAGGATTGTGGTTTAGATGTAAAATAATACAGCAGGAAATAAACTGGAAAGTTATAGCTTAAGCTTTCTTTTGACGGGAAATAATTGTTAGTTATTGTTCATAATCTCTTCTGATTCTTTGAAAGTGTACAGCTTCTAGGAGTATTCCGTTAGATTACTGTCGTGTGTTCTCATTACACACACAGTTTGGAAAAGAAACGTTTTTGTTTAGAGGAAAACGGGGGCAGAGGCAGGGAGTGAGGAGCATATTAACGAAGTGGAGACTAAAAGAAGCTATCGACTTGGCTAATTGAATCAAACTTGTAGTATTTGTTTTTACTCGATTCTTTTTTTTCTAGAAAATACCATGTGAAGTTAGAGACTCAGAGGCTTATATGTATTCATCTTTTGAGAAAAGTTATCAGGGCAAGTTTTGCACAATTTATACTATCAACACAGTTAAAAAGATTCACTCAGTTTCCTTAAAAGCTCCTTAGAATGTTCTTGGCCATTTTTCTATATTAGTCTGGATTTGAAACTCTTCGAAGTCTTAACAAAACAGAAAGGGATGTGTTACAATGCAATATGGTGCCTTGTCTTCTCAAGCTGCTCTTCACGAGTCACAGCTTTCGGATGTTCCTTCAGGAGCAACTGCTGTCTCCTCTCCTATTATTTTAGCAGATTGTGGAGACTTCCTCTGAACCCTGGAGTACGTTCATCTGCTGCAGTAGATGTTGTGAAGGAATGCAGTAAATCTGCCAGACCCATATTTCACTGAGTGGCTAAAGTGAGGAGCGCCATTCGCAGCGAGGAGCCTTGGCCAGTGGTCATTTGTCCCTGCACAATTGCCCACTCCCGATTTTAGCTTTCAGAGAACCCTATTTTATTTGGAATATGCGCGTTATGTGATTTTTGTGAAGGCTTTAGGACTTGCTGTTGTTAACCACACGGCCCAGGAAGCACGTGATAGCACGCCTGTTGGCGGTGGGTCCACGACTGGGTTCGCCCTGTATGCTTCTTCGCCGTCACTCACATCGGCGTAGAAAGAAACGATGGTGTTTCACTTACAGTGTGAATTTTTATATTAAGCATGTAAGAGCTAACAAATCACGCAATTGTCAGCTCTAAGGTATACCCTGTAATTTTCAACTCTTATTTGCCCTGTATATCTTCTCTTTGACGAAATCTGCCTCCAGGGGTCCTGGCTTGCCTGGACGGCTACATGAATATAGCCCTGGAGCAGACGGAAGAATATGTAAATGGACAGCTGAAGAATAAGTATGGTGATGCATTTATCCGTGGAAACAATGGTAATATTCTCTCGCCGTACGGTTGTGCAACATCCAAGAAAAGTTTGTGTTTTTTTGTTTTTTTTTTGGTTTATAATCAGGATCCCCAGCAGATTTTCTACCTAATTCAAGAGTTTAGTTTTAGTTTTGCGTTGTTTATTTTTAACTTCTTCAATCTCAGATCTTCATTGTGACCAGTTTCTTTTTTTTAAGATGCTTTGCAGAATTTTGGGCTAGACATTCTCACCTTCCCTCTCTTTACTAATGAGGACCTGAGGGGCATTAGGACACTGACCCAGAGCCCCGAATACAGTTTATTAAATTCCCCCGACGCTGCCTCTCACACTGGAAGTTGGAGCTGTAAGAGTGGCCACTACTTCCCCTGTATCTTTGGTTTGCAGTATCTGGCAGGTAGCTTGTCCTGATTGTCCTTTCTCTCTTAAACGTTCAAATGCTTTTTGTGGAGGTTTGTATCCTTTAGTTTGGCAAAAATGACAAAGTAGGAAACATGATTCTAAAGTCACTCCCCTTTTTAACAGCTAGTAGGTTGCTATGATTATTATGGTTACTCTTAAGTACCTCGTCTTAAAAAAAAACTATCAAAGAAGTCGTATTTGAATTTCTCAGGGGGAAGGGAAAAACATCAAAACTGAGGGAATTATCCCTTGACCCATCCCCCATCCCCCCCTTTTGGTCCCATCCCCCCAAATGGAGCTCGGGGGCTCTTGAGTTTGGATTTTTTATTGATGTGAATTCTTTAGTTCTGGGTAATTTCTTCATCCCCCTTAACAGTTGGATCTCGGCTCTGAACTAAATATCCTGACTTGTGTTGTAGGTATTCTGTATCCTGTTCTTACAGTACCATATTTCTTCACCTCCTGTCTTTGTATACATATTTTGCTGGCTTTTTATTCCTTCCAACATGTAGGGTTTCCTCGATTTTTTTCTATTAGTCTTATTTTACTCCCCCCATTTATTAGAAATGTTCTGATCGTTCCCCATCTCCAGACAGCTGAGAGAGGTAGTCACTTGTGAGTGGTGACAGGCTGGATCCTGTCCCGTGCTCACTGCTTCTTGGGCTGGTCCAGTTCTACCGTCATTCTGCTGCTTCCCTTCATGAAAACTTTTTCCATGATGTAATCAGTGGTAGTTACCCTTAGACTCCCAAATTCACATCTTTGTCTCTTAAAAAGGATCCTGTTTAATTTGTACTATGTTCTTTGATCAAGATACCTCTTCATGTTCACTTTGAACAGACGGGTCAGAGTCTGAGGGGTCTGGGGGTGGGAGGGGAGGAACACCTCTGTGAAAGCCTGACCAGAGTCACCTAGCTACTAAGTTTTGTCTTATTCTGATGTCCTAAAGAGTTCAGTTTGGGTGGTCGCAAGAGGATAGCTGAGCAAAACTTTGGATAACACCAAAGGTTGATACTTTAAAAGGGAACGCAGAATAAAGATTTTAGTATTTAAAAACAACCCAAAAAATCCCCCAAAACTCCTCAGCTCTTGTTTATCCTGTTGTAGTTAAAATAGTAAACAGCAAGTTTAGAGTTTATGTTGGAGCGATGGATGAAAATATGTTTTTTATTGTTAATCTGAGGTTTAGCCTGGTAAATTTACTGATTTACTTTACTACAAGCAGAATTATTATAATTATAAAACATTCTTATATTCCAGGGGTTTTCACAGCCATTTTTTTTTATCCTCCCAGTCACAGTTTACAGTCAAATACATAGTGAACACTAGAACACAGTCCCGTAAGACGTCAAACCCAGGTCTAGATTCATCAAATCTAGTTTTTCAGTAGTCCTAGAACTTGTTGTGTGGTATGAAAATTCCTTTTCAGTTTGCAGAGCTGTTAGGCTAAAATCTATTTGCTTTTGAAACTTGCTATTATGATTTTTTAAGCACAGGTGTTTTTTTTTTTCAGTGTGTTTATTTTTTTTCTTTCCAGTGTTGTATATAAGTACACAGAAGAGAAGGATGTGAAGACGTCAAGAGGACAATACTTTTCATACTTGGATATATTTTTTATGAGATTTTTTTTTGGTTCTTTTGTGACGTGACTTGTCCTATTTCATAATAGTTGGTGATTTTTCACTGACATGCGAGTGAGAGAAGTGCACAAAATCGTGGATGTAGTTGTAAAGAGCTTCCTCCATATTTAAGTTTTAGGCATTTTCTTTTCCTGCTGTGTCAGTGTGCAGAACGCAAAAGAATAAAGAAAAAAAGAAAGAAAAAACCATTTTTCTCTACATGATTTTTAATTCAGGTCTCAAACCGTGTCATTTGATTGGATTTGCTTTACTCACTTGTCTGAAGAAAGCATGCGTATGATGATCATTAAACCATTTTAGAGATGTCCTTCTTTGGCCCATCTTCTTCGGCTTGCCACATGAAATGCTCGAGGGAAGATGTTCTACAGAAGCATCCGGTTTCAGTCCGACGCCACAAAGGATTTGCGAGGTCAGAAGTTCAGCCTCTGATCCTGTCACCTGGATAGAAAATAGAGCTGGGGATCTAAAGGGGGCATGTCCACAGAGGGAGCGGGAATGTGCATGGAGTTGAGGGAACTCTGAAGGTTGGCCATATTCCGGTTAGCTAAGAGCGACGTCAGTCTGCAGTCACCTTGCACCTCGTCCTGCGCAGGTAGACTTGCCCGATTTTCTTGACCTCTCTCGGGAGCCTTGGCATCAGTGTTCTCTAATGTTTATGAAGCACAGGAGGGGAGGAACTAGTCCTGTACTTACCTCTGTCTGGCAGTCGTTTAGATTAAAGCAAAGCCTGGACTTTGTAAACTTATTCAGGTTCCAGTCGCCTAACTGTGATTGGAGGAGAATTTCTCCTTCCCCCCTCCCCCACCCACTCAGGGGCCGCCCTTCTCGAATCTGAGCCGCGCTGGAGTGAGATGTTGTCCAGGAGCAGAGCACTGAGCTTTCCTGTTGCCTGGCTCAAGGCAGCCCCTCTGCATTCTGTGACTCCTGCTGAGAGGGTTTTCACAGTTTATTAATGAGATTTCCACAACCCTGCTTTCTTCTCTGAGCAGTTTATGCAGTCTCTAGGAACAACAACTATATCTGGGCACAAAGGTTGAATGAACACCAGACAATTGTGTGAACTTCGTGCCGGCCTCCCTCCTCCTCCCTCCCCAAGCGCAGCTTACTCCTGTTCCGGGAGCCGGTGGTGTGGTTGAGGGATGTGGGGGCAGGACGGGGAAGGAGGGAGGAGAGGCGTGGTGCTGGTTCTGGAGAAGGAGCTGTGGCATTTTGTCTTGTTTTATTTTAAAGACCAGAGTGATTGGAAACCATTATTTTTTCATGACCCAGGAAAGGTGGCCAGAAACATTTCACAGGGTTTTACTATGGGCACAGCAAAAAGAAAACACTTTATGCTACACTTCAATAATTTATCACTTCTTGACAGGGGCTTGAAAAGGGTTCAGTCAGCAAGTACAAATCACCAGGACAACTTTTTTTCCCAAGCGGTGTATCAATCATAAACAATCCCCAGATCTCAGAGGTTTGAAACAACAAATGACTCTCACCCATGCTCTGCATCTGCAGGGGCTGGTAGGTGGGATCCTGCTCCTTGTGGTCACCCCCAGGCTCCGGCTGGGGGAGCCAGTACCTTGTGTCTCGGCCATCTCTCTGTGACTCAAGGCTTGGTGCTGCAGGCGAGGAGCGGAAACGGTCCTGCCCAGGCTCTTAGATGCTTTTGCTCGGGGGAGACACCAGTCACTTGCCCTCCATTTTATTAGCCAAAGCAAGTGAATGGCCATGGTTTCAAGTTTCCAGGATCCAGAAGGAGAGAAAACCAGAAATATTGGTGAACAGTGGCAATATTTACCACAGTATGTGTATTAGGGTTCTCCAGAGAAACAGAACTAATAGGACGTGTATGCGTAGAGAGAGAGATTTATTTAGAGAATTGGCTCATATGGTTGTGGGGGCTGGCAAGCCCCACATTTTCAGGGTCAGCTCGTAGGCCGGAGACTCGGGGAAGAGTTGCAGTTCAAGTCCAGAGGCAGAGTCTGCTGGCAGAATTTCCCCTTCCAGGAGGGTTGCTCTTCTTCTACTAAGGTCTTTAACTGTTCGGATGAGGCCCACGCCCATAATGGAAGGTAATCTGCTTTACTCAAAGTCTCTGCTGACTTAAATGTTAATCTCATCTAAAAAATACCTTCACAGAAACATCTAGAATGTTTGACCAGATATCGGGGGGCCATGACCTAGCCAATTTGACACATAACATTAACCATCACAGTATGGTTAATCACAGAAACTAAGAGGTATACCCAAACCCAAAACTGCAAAGTCTCAGATTTTATTCCTCATGAACAAAGAATCCTTTATCGGCTAAGAGTGGGGTTGAGGAACCTCGTGCTCCTCGTGCTTTAATGACCTCTTCATTAGATTCCAAAGAAAAATAGCGATTGGTTCTTTCCCTGGTTTCAGAAGCTGGGTCTGAAAAGATTGCTTTGGTTTGGTTTTGTTGCAGGATAACTTAGAAATTCCCAGTTAATACATTCCTAAATTAAAAAAAAAAATACCACCTTTCCATAGAGCAGGTAAGCGTGACCTCAGGCCACAGACTGGAGAGATGGTCATGGAGTCTTCAGTATGCAGCTGGACCATGTTCTGTAAACTTTCCAAAGCACAAGGGTACATAGTACATCTAACGCTGAACTTCATCGCTTCTCAGGCGTGAGGTTTGTATGGCGCTCACTTTTCAGCATATTTGGAACCCTTTACAAGTATGTATCTTTCTCCTGACAGAGCGAATGTGCCGCCCATCTTGGTCAAAGATGACCTGTTGATAGGACCTGGTCCTCCAGCACGGTAGAGTTGGCTCACCCTCTGTCGAGGTCCTCTGCCGGGAGCATAGGCCCAGATCTCTGAGATGCTGGGAGGGCAGCCGGTGACCCACAGGGGAGCCCAGCTCCACCTTGATGTCATCAGCCACCTGAGCTCATCCTCACACTCTCCCTTGACCATCAGGGAACAAGGCCATCCCCTTTTCCAGGTGCGGGAACCTGAAGCAAAGAAGTCAAGTGACTTGCCCCGGGTCACTCGGGGAGTCGCTACGACTAGGGGAGCAGTTCCCAAGGCTGTTTGATCAGGCTCTTAAGTGCCAAACTCCTGCCCGCTGGTTCCATCTGGTGTGCATGCAGTCAATAAATCAATCTTCTCTTGTGTGTGGCCTCCCAGGCATCTAAATAAGGTCCCAAGGTGTGCACAGGGACTGCCGTCCTCTACATTCAGAGATGGGGTTGCCGACGGTGATTTGTTGTCGCTCTGCTCAGGTCCGACAGGGACGATCAATCGTCAGCCAGTGGCCCTTTACACCCGGGCCCATGTAAAACCTGCCCCTCAGTTGGGGTCTGCAGGTGCTGTTTGCAGAGTCTTGCTTTTCTTGAGAGGACTGTCTCTTAGAATTTCTTTTTCCCTCTGGAATGTGCCCATTCCTAACGACTCCACGACAGTCTGTTTGCCAGCAGCCTTTTGCCGTGTCTTCCCGTTAGAAGCTGCATCATCAGATGCTGTGCATACACAGGAGAGAAACGGAGACAGGATCAATGTGAATCTCAGCTGCCTTTAGCTCCCCGGCCCAGCTCTGACAGGATCCACGGTCCTCTGTCCCAGGCTCATTTGCTCAGATGTCTAATAAAGGCAAATAACTAGGAGCCGTGCCTAGAGTGAGGCTTGCTAGGTCACTCGACCACCCTCCCCTGAACCCCCTTGCGCTCCCTAAGTGTGCTTAGCACACACATACCATCCCCGCTCCTGGAAGCATGACCTACACCCTAACCCCGGGCACATGTGATGCTTACTTAGCATCCAACTAGGCCATGTTGTGTTTCATGTTAAACTTTTTTAAAAATTTTATTTATTTGAGAGAGAGAGCATGCATAAGCCGGAGGGGGCGGCAAGCAGAGGGTGAAGCAGACTCCCCACTGAGCAGGGAGCCCGATGTGGAACTTGATCCCAGCACCCTGGGATCATGACCTGAGCCAAAGGCAGATGCTTAACCACTTGAGCCACCCAGGCGTCCCCATGTTTCATGTTAAATACATTTTGTTTGATGTTTACTTATGACTTCACTTTTGCTGTTTTTATCATTTTTCAGTTTATTATAGAACCTTTTTAAAAATAATTTTTTTATTGAAACTGATCACTTTGAGAACTGTGAGGACCAAGTCCAGGATGGCAAGAGATATGGTAGGCTTTGATCAAAATGTCATATTGTGTTTACATTTCAGAAGAAAAGAGAGCTATCTATTTTAAGAAATATTAAAATAGAGATTGAAAGAGAATAGCCACTTTCCCCCCGGTTAGAACTGCATTCCCAGATGAATCTGTTTCTCCTGTTCAGGGAAATGAAAGTATTCTTTTAACTAAGAGGAAAACCAGGTTAAATAAGCTACCAGACAGACAATTTAAAGACCATTCTTTTTATTAAAAACCATTGCAGACTTTTAATATGCTTACTTTTATCATTGTCATTCATTTTCCTTTAATGAATGAAACTTACCAAAAACCAACACATTCTCTTCTTCCTCCATCTTTCCTCTTCTTTTTTTTTTTAAAGATTTTATTTATTTGACAGGGAGAGACACAGCAAGAGAGGGAACACAAGCAGGGGGAATGGGGGAGGGAGAAGCAGGCTTTCTGTGGAGCAGGGAGCCCGACGCAGGGCTCAATCCCAGGACCCTGGGATCATGACCTGAGCCGAAGGCAGCCGCTTAACTGACTGAGCCACCCAGGCGCCCCCATCTTTCCTCTTCTGTTGTATGGGAAAGACTAGCTTTTAGACTCCACAGTTCCAGTTCCCGACACCACCCCTCCCAAATTATACGGGCATTATTTCTCTCAAAGTTGCCCTTATTCTGGGTTCATGTCAATTTCTTTATTATTCTAACAAGCTGACCCTTCCTCAAACCTGTGTGGAGATGAAGGAAGCAGGAAGACAGTGACTCCTTGGAGGGCTGGTGGATGAACATCCCTGACCCAGGTGATTTGGGAATTTAGCAGAACATCAAGAAAGAAGTTCCCATCTGTCTTGTGTAATGAGAGACACAGTACTCCAGTTTAAATTGGAAACAGGAACCCAGGTTGATTGGAGAGCCATTGTGAACTGGAAGCTCCCTGAGGGTAGGGCTGTGTTTTGGCTTTTTATCTCCAACCCTGAAGATGTCTGGCACATTGGTGTTCTGTCTTGCTGCTGACAACTCCATAGAAACACAATCCTGATGCCCTTAAATAATTTACCTCTGCTTTGGCAAGCGTTTTTGCTTCCAGATGGAAATACTCTCATCCTCAGCGTCAGCCCCATTATTATTACTTGAAAGTTTGAAAACACTGGCAAGGAGGCAAGTTACGGGGCAACAGGGACCTTAATTTTCTAACATCTGCTGGAAGTTCTTCCTGCTACAGGAGACCATCTGACACATTTTTGGCTTGCCTGGC